AGGGAGGTAGGTCTTCAAATTATTCTGCAGAAAACGAAAGTAATGTACAACAACCCCGTAAAAAAACAGCACTTCAAGATAGGTAATAGGGCTCAGGAAGTTGTAAAAGACTTATGTCTACTTAGAACAGGTAATAACCGTAGAGCAGAACCACGAGTAGAGCAGAACCACGAGATTGAAGTAACTAGAATGGAGTAGAGCATATTTGGCAAGCACTCTCAAATCTTGACAGGCAGATAGCCACTATTCCTCAAAAGAACGTATATAACAGCTGAATTTCGCCGGTACTTAGCTATGGAGCACAGACCTGGAGACTTACAAAGAGGGTTCAGCTTAAATTGAGGACCACGAAACAAGCAATGAAAAGCAAAATGGTAGGTGTAACATTATAAGACAAGAAAGCAGAGTGGAGCAGGGAACAAACCGGGGTTAAGGATACCATAGTTGAAATCAAGAAGAGAAAATGGACATGGGCCGGGCATGTAGCGTATAGAAAGGATAACCGCTGGTCATTAAGAGTAACTAGTTGAATTCCCAGAAAATGCAAGCGAGTTAGGGGGAGACAGAAAGTTAGATCAGCATATTAAGAAGTTTGTGGGTATAAAATGGCAGCAGCAAGCACAGGACCGAGTTGACTGGCAGAACATGGGAGAGGCCTTTGTCCTGCAGTGGAAGTAGTCAGGCTGATGATGATGACTCGCTGTGACTTAGCATCACTTTAAGCCATACTACATGCTTTAAGCCATGCTTCACACTTTAAGATATGCTCCACGCTGTGGTGTAGCGTCAATTTAAGCTATTCTGCACATTGTAGCATAGTGTCATTTTAAGCGATACTAAGTGCTTTAAGCCATGCTATTGGACGCTGTGGCATGGCATCAATTTAAGCTATGCTGCACGCTGACGCTTAGTGTCACTTTAAGACATACTACAGGCTTTCAACTATTCTACACACTGTGGTGTAGCGTCAATATAAGCTATGCTGCACGCTGTGGCGTTGTGCCAATTTAAGCTATGCCGCACACTGTGGCTTAGCGTCACTTCAAGACATACTACACACTTAAAACTATGCTACATGCTGTGGCGTAGAGTCTATTTAAGCTATGCTGCAGGCTGTGGCATAGCGCCACTTTTAAACAATACTACACGCTTTAAGCCATGCTACACGCTGTGGCGTAGCATCCATTTAGGACTATGCTGCCCTCTGTAGCTTAGCGTCACTTTATGCCATATTACCCACTTTAAAGGCCAACTCCGACGATTTTTTGAGCATGTCCAAGTAATGGTACTTTTATGCTCCCCAAACGCTCCAATCATGGACCTGATAGCAGTAATACTCGAGTATGTTCAAAATAATTTCAAATAATCAAAAAAAGTGCAACACTGAAGGTGAAACCCAACCCAATCTTCATGTGACGTACACGGTGGTAAAAGCCATGCAAACCGGAAACCGTGCAAGGCATGCCAGTTTCGCCAAGGGTGTAAGGCAGGGGGATACCATCTGCCCAATGCTATTTACCGCTAGCTTACAGGAGGTTTTCAGAGGCTTAAGTGGGAAGAGTTAGAGAAAAGAATTATTGAAGAGTCCCTTAACAATCTGCACTTCACTGATGACATCGCATTGCTGGGATGAATTGCAACTCATGATTACGGAGTTGGACAAGGAGAGTAGAGAGGCAGGTCTTCATATTATTCTGCAGAAAACGAAAGTAATGTACAACAACCTCGTAAAAAACAGCACTTCAATATAGGTAATACGGCTCAAGAAATTGTAAAACACTTATGTCTACTTAGATTAGGTAATAACCGTAGAGCAGAACCACGAGTAGAGCAGAACTACGAGATTGAAGTAACTAGAAGAATAAGAATGGAGTAGAGCACATTTGGCAAGCACTCTCAAATCTTGACAGGCAGATAGCCACTATCCCTTAAGAGGAAGGTATATAACAGCTACATCTTGCCGGTACTTAGCTATGGAGCACAGACCTGGAGACTTACAAAGAGTGTTCAGCTTAAATTGAGATCCACGAAACGAGCAATGGAAAGCAAAATGGTAGGTGTAACATTATAAGACAAGAAAGCAGAGTGAAGCAGGGAACAAACCGGGGTTAAGGATACCATAGTTGAAATCAAGAAGAGAAAATGAACATGGGCCAGGCATGTAACCTATAGAAAGTATAACCGCTGGTCATTAAGGGTGACTAGTTGAATTCCCAGAAAATGGGAAGTGTCATAGTGTCATTTTAAGCGATACTAAGTGCTTTAAGCCATGCTACTAGACGCTGTGGCGTGGCATCAATTTAAGCTATGCTGCACGCTGATGCTTAGTGTCACTTTATGACATACTACAGGCTTTCAACTATTGTACACACTGTGGTGTAGCCTCAATATAAGCTATGCTGCACGCTGTGGCGTAGTGCCAATTTAAGCTATGCTGCACGCTGTGGCGTAGTGCCAATTTAAGCTATGCCGCACACTGTGGCTTAGCATCACTTCAAGCCATACTACACACTTGAAACCATGCTACATGCTGTGGCGTAGAGTCTATTTAAGATATGCTGCAGGCTGTGGCATAGCGTCACTTTTAAACGATACTACACGCTTTAAGCCATGCTACACGCTGTGGCGTAGAATCCATTTAGGCTATGCTGCCGTCTGTAGCTTATCGTCACTTTAAGCCATACTACCCATTTTGAAGGCCAACTCCGGCGATTTTTTTTAGCATGTCGAAATAATGGTACTTTTATGCTGCCCAAACCCTCCAATCATGGGCCTGATAGCAGTAATACTCGGGTATGTTCAAAATAACTTTAAATAATTAAAAAAAGTGCAACACTGAAGGTGAAACCCAACCCAATCTTCGTGTGACGTACACGGTGGTAAAAGCCATGCAAACCGGAAATTGTGCAAGGCATGCCAGTTTCGCCAGTGCGGAGTATGAAAGCTGCCTGCGAAAGCAGCGAAGAGCAAACTCTCAGTGGAAAGGTGACCCCATCGCAACAGCCACACTATGTCTGTTACTGATTCTGCTATGTGGACAAGCTCCTCATAGCTGTCGCTAAATGACAGCTGAGATTCAGATGCATATGAAAGCCAAGTAAAATCGCCGAAGAGAAGTGGTAATTGCTCGTGGTGCAGTAAAAGGTCAGATGACGCCACCTATTTAGGCCGCTCAAGTTTGTGGGGTAAAATGCTATCGCTGAAAAGTTGGCGGACTTACTGAAGCTTCTTGATTTTGCTATAGGTAGAGTGCATATGTCTGGCTATATCAGAGTTTAGAATTGTGCTGGCAGGGCTGAACAAAATTAATTTAGGCCTAGCACGACGAGCTGGGCCTAGCCACAATACACTTTGTATACGTTATAAAAAGTGTTTCCATTCAGTAATGTGCACATTTAGTACACTACCGTAATGTTCACGCATGGACCCTTTTCTGCCGATACGGTATTAACACAGTTTCCATGAAGTGAGCCGGCACTGCTAGCTAAAGCAATATATTTATCGAGACAAAGGGTAATCCTAACCTCTGAGCGTTTCCTGAATGTTCAGATAAGTATACAAGAAATCGTGTGCAACCAGGACGCAGCACCACCTGCCACCCATCGCTAGCAAGCCCACAACGAACTGAAATCCGCGTGCCGAACCAACGAAACGTTGACTAAGCAACACACGCGATCATTGCCTAGTGAACAGCAGACGATGTAGTGGTGCCTTGATTCCGTCACTTTAACATAAGTGTTGGCACACATACACAATGTTGCCAATAATTATTGGAAGCCTGTTGCGACAGTCGGGGCAATCTATAAAATTTATTTGTAAAAAATGTGCGTATTTCTTCAGCCTGTAATCGAGAATAAACGATGGCAATGTGCAAATGAACCTACCAGCGAACTTCACAGAGATCTCACGAGCGTCGAGGAAAAGGCCCGTCATAGTGGAGTTTTTATCTTTTAAAGAAAAAGAGCAGCTTCTCGCAAGCTAAAGAAAACCAACTATGGAATCAGTAAGGACAATTCACCAAAAGTCAGGTGGGAGAGGCAAAAACTGATACATTACCCGAAAGGAAGAGAGGCAATTTTAAGCTTTATTTCAATAAGTTATTCATGAATGGCCAAATATTCCAGCATGGCAGTGCTCAAGATACCATTGTGCCTAGCCCTAGATAGCAATCAACTAAAAATCCTGTTCTAATGACAAAAGAACTGAAAAAAGATCAACATGCATTTTAATTAACTGTTTAAAAGACAAGAAAACAATTTCTTTTGTAGTTAGACATGATTAAACCTCACAGTATTGAGTAGTGCAAAGCCAGACTCCCTTCCACAGTTTCCTGTGCAAGCAGGTTAAACTAGCGCTGGCGAAACAACAAGTGAGGAAAACATTAGGTGTGTTTGTGCACTGAAGACTTAAAAAAAAAAAAGCTACGAATTTTCCTTTGCTGGTCGGATGCATGACCCGACCACCATGACGTGTTTGCTGGTTAACTCACCAGAACAATGGCGAGAACAAGAGCAGACAGAACGGCTCCATGCACTATGAAGAAAGCCCAACGAAGCAACAGTATACTGTTGCATTGTGAATTGCCACAGAAGAAAAGGACACCAGTTGTACCGATTTGCATAGCTGTTGCAAAGCAGAACGGTGAGATTGCTGGATACAGGCCGTTGCGAATGTATTGGGCAAGCCAATTACTCTTGTTCTCCGCAGCTGGTTGTACGAGAAAGTGTCATAATGTAGGACTCCTATGATTGCTTTCAGTAGCCTTGACATCTAGCTCTGGCGTAATATGTCAATATGTCTCGGTATGTGAGTGGAGGGTCCACGAGACTTGGACTCTCGTCTTGGCCATGCAGCAGTGCGAAAGCTTGAAAAATCTAACTTTTCAATATTGAAAACTTCAATCTTTTTCTAAGATGCCCAGAGTGCAACCGTGCAGGCACTTAGGTCAAACAGCGAAAGCGACTTGTAAGTGTTTGAGAATACCCAAAACCTGTGCTCACCATTTCAATAAAAGGACCTTGGCTGGTGGTGTCTTCAACCTCAATGTTTGCACCATTGTCCCAGCTGGCAGCCAGCCTCGTCCTTTCAGCCTCAGCCAACTTAGGAAGAAAAGACCTCGCCTGTGCCAGGGCTGGAAGGCAAGAAAACCTTGAAACTAATTATACTGTCTGTAGTTTTTTAATTTAGTTACTTTTTTCCTTCTTTAGAGTTGGCCCACTATAGCCTTCATTAGATGGCTATAGTAACAAGCGAACATATTTCTTAGAACATGATTGCCCAACCTGTTCCTCAAAGGGGCCCGCAACACCTTTTCAGCACGGTCAGAAAACGCTGCCGGTAAATAGTTGAGGCTCCCGAGAACACGAAAGCCTTATATCATACTGCTCCACGCGACCTGAAATTCAAATCGTTCCTTTCTCTATTAAAAATGATGTCATATACCCAAATTCCTGTGCTGTAGCCAAGTCTGTGCCATCAGCCGTTTGAACATCTTGAGCTACATAGTTACTCTTGCTGCCACAAGATGCCGCCATGATCTCGCACATGTGATCACACTAAAGGTAGGCTGCGCATTTGATGAAAAACAAAAGGTGATGAAAAACAAAAAACACATGCTAGATGTATGCCCTTGTCACCCCCCTACCTCCCTCACTACTTACTGGCTAGAGGGGGAACGCTTGAAGTGTGAAACAAATTCTAGTGCATAGTTACATTCATACTCAAGAGGCAGTCTCACTAGTAGCATCATGTGCTACTAGTGAGACTATTCCATTATTTGCAACACTCAACCATGGTGGTGCTGCCATACGGCAACCAAGCCGTGATGCGGTGATAGAGCAAAAACTTGCCGGGCGACAATGTGCCAGCCAAGCTTCGTCGTCATCCTGTCACACAACTTCTTGCACGCTGTCACCACTGTTGGGTATCGCGTGTTTCTCAGCTAACGGCTGCTGCTGCGCAGAGCTTATAGACGGGCGTCTGAACAAGGCGACATTGAATTAAAGCTACATTTACATACAGCATAAGTCGTTACATATTCGGCACTGGGGCCAACAGCTTAGAGAGCTCAAAGAGCCGGAATGCCTTTGATGCTTTGACGCTGTCGTCTGCTCTGATGCTCTCGTCTGCTGCTTTTGGTCGCGCTGCTTGGTTCTTTTATAGGCCCTGGGGAACTCTTACGTCAGAAGCCTCCTATCAGGAATGCCGCTAACCTTGCGTCAGCAGTCTCCAATCAGGAACTGCCTCTGGGTTGCACCTATGGGCGAGCGGTATTGCCATGCGTTGCGCAAGACGCACCGGGCTAGATGACGAAGCACCTTTGTTTGGACGGCGTGCAAAAAGGTGGGCGCATGACAGCAAATGAAAGAAAATAAAGACGGCGTTTAGCGGTGGCACGCGAAAAAAAAAAAGGGGGGCTTGCGTTCCTCGCGGGCGTCGATTGTCATTCAGGCGTATCTTTTCTTCGCTCCTGCGGCGTAAGCCTGCAAGTGGTGACCTACGGCAACGAGAATGACTGATCCGAACGCTGAACTGAACAAGCCTCGGCGGTGCAACTGCGTCTCTTATCTTTCTGGCCTCAGAACCCACAAATTTGGTTCCACCAGGTCGCGGCGCAATTCTCGCTGCACCGCGTCGCTGGGGAAAAAACATGCTACTACCACATCGCCGCAGTCCTTCCTCCTGATATTGCTAGTGAGCTTTCTGATACCTCTCTAGTCCCCGAGACACTGCACCATATCCGCACCTTAAGACCAAGGTGCTGGAGCGATTCATGCCATCAGAACATGTCCGTCTTCAGCAGCTCCTTGCAGAGGGAGACATTGGTGACAGGTGCCCCTCCCAACTGCTGCACCGAATGCGACAGCTCCTTGAGGAGCACCTCGTCTCAACCCACTCAGCGCTGGTACATGAGCTCTTCCTCCAACACCTTTCTCAGCCAATCCGCCTCATCGTCGCGGCGGCCGACAAGGTCAATCGTGAACGACTGGCGGAGCTCGCTGATCAGGTTCATGAAGTGACCACCTCATCCGTAGACGCTGCCTCACCACCAACGGACATGGCAATTTTGCAACTTCAAGCCCAGATCGATGAACTCACCACCTCCATTGCCGCACTTCGAAGCCCCCTCCCAGAGACTCATTCACCTCGTTCAGTAATCGAGCTCTTCGATGCACACAAGAATCTCTGAATTCCAGCTCTCCATCTCTCTGCTAATACCACCGGCGTTTTGGACACCGAGCCACAAGGTGCAAACATCTCTGTTCATGGCCGGGAAACACTTGCTGAGATCACTGACGATTACGTGTGATCTCCCTTTTCGTCCCAGCCGCATTTTCATGGCAGCGGATCAACTATACGACGCCAAGTTCCTTATAGACACAGGCGCAGAAATTAGCGTTGTGCACCCGACTAAGGCTCATCGTTCGAAGTCACCTGGGCAATCGCTTCGTGCTGCCAACGCCTCTGCAATAGCGACGTATGAACTTCGGTCTCTCACCCTTGACTTCGGCCTTTGCCGCATTTTTCGGTGGATTTTCATCATCACAGATGTCGTTCAGCCGATTATTGGTTCGGACTTCCTCTCATACTTTGACTTGGACGTCAGCCTGAGGCTTCGCCGCCTCGTCAATGGTCAGACTTACCTCTCCATCTCTGGAGACTTGTCCGTCATTGATCCTATAAACACCCGCACTGCTGATACTTTCCTCACCGTTCGGAAAAATCTTGGCAAGTTTGCCGGAATCAGCTCTTTCGTTACCACGCCTATTCAAATCGATCACCGTTGATCGACACTTTTCGGTCATCAATTTGGCATGTTAAATTTCTTTCTCATGCACCCTGCCCTTTAGAGTAGCTAGTCCAGCCACACAACTTTCAGAATTTTCTTGAATTTGCGTCATAGCGATTATTTACAGACTTTTGCGTCTACCCTAGAGTGCCTCGATGCGCGCGCCCCCGCTTAGAGTGGTGTCAGCTTTTGCAAGGGCAGATGCCGCCGCCTCGGCTTCGGCGCCAGCGCGACCGCCATTTTGGCGCCTCCGGCCGGTAGTTCGTGCTTGGCGTGTGAGGTGTTGTTGGGCAGTGTTCATTCCCTTCCAGTTTTATGCACCCATCTCCACATCACCATGCCCGGCTGCTGCGTGCCGCAGTGCTCGAATCACTCGAGAAACGGATGGAAGTTGTACCGGTTTCCAAGAGACCCAAAAAGAAGGCTTCTTTGGACCGTTAAAATCAAACGAGACAAGTGGCAACCGACTAATACGTCGCACGTATGCAGCGTAAGTAAACTTTTTTTTTAGTGTGTCGTATTCTGACTGGTCAGCATTATTTAGGGCGCCGTTGTTTTTTATTTAGGTGCGCAATGTAAACGCAGGACAGCCAAACGTCGTGCAGGGTACTGTGCGGCGTGCTCGTGTTAAAAGACCACGCTTTAAGAAAATGCGTCAAGTACGGGGGCTTCGGAAGCCCCCGTGTTGATAACATTTCATGCTGGTTCAAGGGCCTCGAGTGTGCTACTACATTTATAGGAACTGCGACTAGTTTCAGTGCCCTTGCACGGGAAAGTGTTGCCTTGGCAGCAGCGTTGTGAAATCCTTCCCACCCCCTACCCGAGGCTGTTAATTTCGTGCACTGCGCTTCGCAGCTATTGTGCTCGCGAGACCGGCTGCCGCTGTCGTGACCGTCCGCCTTGCAGCCCGAAGACAGACTTCGTGAAATTGCCGTACTCGCTCGCCAACTCGCCCCGACAGCGTACGCGTCGACCGGGTGCTGGCGGAGTTGAGCTGAACGAAAAGTAGGCAAGAGATGGGGACGCAGGAGGTGTAGTTAAACAGATAAGAATTTAGAAAGTGGAGGAGGGAGAAAATTATATGCAAGGGCAGAAAACGGGGAGTGAGTTCAGGCCGCGTGCCGGCGAGCGAGTACGGAAATCTGACGGCGCCTGACTGCTGCCGAGCTTCAAGAGTACGGCACGTAGAGTTCACGTAATTCACATAAGAGGAAATTGGACGCGAAATGCGCGCATATGGCCTCGCAGGGAATTAACATAGGCTCGGGTGCGTGGTAGGGGGATTTCACAACGCTTACGAGGCCTGACCATGTTTATTCGTGCACGCGTTCGCACTGATCGGTCGAAATTGAAACGCCTCTTGTGAAATCAAGCCGTTTGAACATAAACGTGCTGTTCCTGCGAAAAACTCGTAATATTACGAGGCCGGACTTCTGCCCGCCTTGTGTGTATCGTCGTATGTACACTTGGGAATCAGGAACACTTCAGTGACAAACAAAACAAGCGCTGTTATGGAGTGTTGTCATTTTTACCTGACAAATAAATTCGATTGCATTGGGAACTTGGAGGCTTGGGTACAAAGCTTTCGATAGAACGAAATCTGTAACGCTCGCTATAAAATCAGACCTGGTCCTTTGTCGGGACAATAGACTAATATTTTATTCACATGAATTCAGGAATCCTTACAGATTTTCAGTGCGAAAATTGAAGGGTTATTATAACAGCAGGCTGGGTCTATGATCGCGCTCACTGAAGTCGCTTACGTGAAAGCGCGCGTGAGCTCAATTAGTTTCCTTCTTTTTGTACTTCAAAGTTGCTGCTAGTTCCTGCTGCGAATCATACTGCATGCATACATGAAATATTGTTTATTGACAGTGACAGACATTCGTTGTTCTTCTGGCAGTGTGTTAATCTCCGATTCTGATTTTATTTGCAGGCTCACTTTGAAGAGAACAACTATGAGCAACATCGTGCGGATGGCTGGAAGAAGTTGCAACCAAATGCCGTCCCAACTTTGTTCACATTCGAAGGTAAGATTGAACTTTTTTCTTGCATTACATAAAGCAGCACCAGTTGCAAGTACTCTATGTACCTGGGATTTCTATGAAGCTAACACCAAATAGGTCCTCATATGCTGCGTCCACATTAGTGCATAAATTCTGGAAATGCAGTCACGGACAAAGCTAGGAAATGCGAACACAAAAATGTGAACCAGACCACGCAAAATTGAAAAATACTGCTAATATTAGACGGTCAGATAATGGCACGCTATTAGTGCATTTGGAAAGCTACATTTCCCAACTTTGTTTTTGTGATTACGTTGCATCACTTTGACTTGCATG